AGTATCTGTAATATGAGAGTTTTAATATTCCCTCTTCTCCATTCCTAGGTAATATTTTTCAGAATCATTTTGCTTTGGTAGAGTTCAAAACCTTCAAACTGATTTCTTTCACATACTAAAAGCCACGTTTCCTGGTCAAGATTTCCCTACCAAGACTCCAAATTTACAAGGCTATCCCATTTTCAAAAGAATGCTAAATGTATACTTAGAAAACATTCTGAAAACAACTAAATAGCAGGTGGAGCAGGACTGTGATGTGACATGGGAAAGCTCCATTCCCCAGTCTTATCAACCCTTCCTTTAATCAGGCTACTTTTAAACATCATGTTAGTGCTGTTCCATTGTTTCAGAAGTCATTTTCCATGAGATGGACAGCCATATAAATTTGACAGACAAACAGACAGACAAACCTTTTTCAGAAAAGAATGCTAAATCTATGTCACAGTGCACAAGAACTAAGTACTTACATAAAAACAGAATTAGGTTTACCAGATGGCTAAATCTGCAGTTTAGCCCTCTGATACAACTCACCTTTTTGCCAAACCCAGCCCTACCTCCCACTAAAAAGAGTGACAAGTGTATGCTTTTCCTGACATCTGGTAGTAAAGGAAAAAACTGAGCCAATACTTTCTTTAATTTGACCCGCACTGAAACTGTAGGGACAGCACTGTTCCCTAGCCTTGTTTGAGAGTTCAGCCATTTATGCCACATACTGTTCTGCCATCTTTTTCTCTTTTCTCTTTAATGTCAATCTGTCTATTTCTGCACAATCTAAAATTTTCTTAATTAGTTCTTCCGTTGGTAAATTTTCATTTTTCCAATATTGGGCAAATACAGTTCTTTACTGCAGTTAATACATGTAAAATTAAGTATATACAATCTTTCTCATAGTTTCCTCCTATTATGTCTAACAGAAATGGTTCTAGCTTAAAATCTATATGTTTTTTAGTCATTTTCTCCAACCATATGTGTATTTTTGACCAAAATCTTTTAGCTTTAGGACATTGACACTGACATCTGATACTGACTTCAAATCAGCGTAGCACACAAACCAACTAAAGCTCTTCAAAATGTCCTAAGCAGACCAAAAGACCCAACAACCCCAGAAGAAAAAACAGGAGTCATCTACAACATACAATATAAGGACTGCAACAACCACTATGTAGGACAAACAGGTAGAATACTGGCAGAACACATCCATGAACACCAACTAGCAGTCAGAGACTTGATGAAAATTCTTTAATTTCACAACATATAGACAGATTTTACCATAGTTTCAATTGGAGAAATGTGACCATCCTAGACCAAGCCAAGTCCCAAAATGCCAAGGAATTTCTAGAAGCCTGGCACTCTGACAAATCAGCCATCAATACACACACAGACAAAAGAGACTATCACTCAGTCTAAAAAGGAACAAAAAGATCCAAGCACCTCTCCACCAGCAATCAGCACCCAGATCAGCATAGATTAACTCCAAGGTTAACATCAGACCAACAATCAAATAAACAATACCTCCAAAGAAGTCAACACAAAAAGCCCAACCAAAGATAACCACTAAGACCACCCCCACCGACAGGCAAGCCACCAGAATATATACTGGCAGCAAACTGCACTCTTTACTAGAATTGATAACGTTACCTAGTTTGGGTAATGAACCATCTGCAAGAAAACAAGCAAGCTCAGAGAGCATCAGGGACCCCTCGTGTCAACCCGAGCCACAAATGTTCTCCTTTATTAGTATTGACTTCAAAAGCTATCTTTGCCATGGGAGGCTTAATACCACATTAAATCCAAAGGAGCATCTTCCCTGTCCCTTGTAAATACAGCAGTGGAAAAAAAAAGATATTTTTAAAAAAAGCATAAAATCTTACTTTTTGAGATGTCATTTTCTATTACAATTTTCTTTTTTAAATTAAAAACAACTACACTGTTCTCTGACTTAAAATTCAGAAAATAATAGGAATTAAAGGATATAAAACCAATTACAGAAACAAAGGCCTATTTGCAATGGTACAAAACAGTCTAATCATTTCCACAAAAGTTAATATGTAAGATAAGATAAGATAAGATAACCTTTATTGTCATTTTTTTTTTACTGTAGGCATAACGGCACACAGTTGTTGAAAAAGTTGAAAAGTTGAAAAGTCCGACTACCAAACTAGCACAATTCTGAGCAGGGGCACTGCTGGTATACAAGGTATCCTGGTTCAGGATTCCTCCTAACGCACTCACCTACCATTAGTCTTTTTTTAAACCTTGCAATGGCATATCATTCATTCAGTGCCCTTGTGCGATACACAATTTTATATTTTATAAAATAAATCCATTCTTAATATCCTGGTTGGCATTTGTTTCAGCCGTGTAAAATTCATGCTCCTTCTTTAGAGATTAGGTCATATCTTTAATGAATGACCTTTAAAATTGGCTCAATCTGCAAGGATACTTACAATAAAACTAATTGGTAGTAAGAAAGTTAATGTTATTTTTCTGATTATGGAAGTTTTAAAATCATGTTTCCTGGAAATAATCCACTAACAGACAGATGGGTTCTTATTTGAGAGACTCCTGCAAAAGCACAGAATCCTTGTAAGATCATTTTGTTAGTTCTTAAAATATTGCTGATGCATGTCTGTTACCTACTGTATTTGACTAACATGCAAATATTTTAGTTTATATTAGAAGATGGACACACATTTTTATTAGCATAAAAATTGGTTTTTACTATTGCTAAGAAACAATATTATAATAAAGAAGTGCAATATTTTCAGAAGCATTCCATTGGCCAGTATGAGATGGCTTGGTTACTAAAGAATTACAACTACAACAAAAGCAAACAAGAGGATGCCAGGAGAATGGAGCAGTAGATGCCATTCATTCTCTCTTGAAAAAAGACAGGACAGACAGAAGGTGCAAAACAGCCTTACCATCATCAAGTGAAGAAGAATTACCCATGATAAAAGGAGTAAATGGGGAAAGCTTGAAGAAATATGAGTGGAAAGAAAAAGAAAGGCACCACTGGAAATGTAGAGAAAAAGAAAAGAAAAAAAGTGTGAGGAGAAAAGGAACAGATCCATACGCATACTTAACAACAGGACTAATAGTGTTTTTTCCTCCAAAAGCTTTGCCTGTGTGAATCATAGATAAAACAAAGAAAAAAGTCCCTTTGATACAATACTCATATTAAAAACAAACAATGCTTATAATCCAACCAAGACATCTTTAGCTAATTTTGATCTAATATAAACACCTGAAAGTCTTCACACCAAGAAAAATATATTAAATAAATGCATCCTTTGGGGAGCTACATTCGTGTGCACATGACAATATCTATATTCATTTGACATGTTAAATAAAGCATTTCCATCAACAAATTAATCTCACATTTCTAGTTTGCATACCACAGTAAAATAACATTGCAGTACTATATACAGTGCAATACTATGCTTCATTTCCCTCTCTAAAAAATGAGCTGGTATAATGAACATTTTGTTGTTTCACCATTGCTGAATTCTTGCATAAAGTTGAAGTTCAGGCTGCAGTGGTTCATGGTATCATCTGCCAAGTAACTTACCAAGATGGTGGTGAGAACATTTCTCACCTCTCGTATATTTCATATTCATCTCCTTTGCCCTCCATCCATACTCAAATCTACTCTAACATTACTCACAAATAATTTAATCTATTTTTATGTTTCTTTCCACTATTTTCAAGTGATTAACAATTTTAAACATTTCTTCCAGCATCACAACATATACATAAGGCTTTCATTTTTGTTAATGTGCACATACTTCTGTATCTCAAAAAAGGCTTTTATTTTCTTTTATTATTTCTAAATCTTACCAAAATACAAAAAGTCTTTGAGCAACTTTACATATAAAAAGCAATGTTAATGTTTTAATTTTCTATCATTATTCCCATTTAGTGCTCTGATCTTCACGTATGTTAACTAAATATTGCAATTGTAATTCTGATTCAAAGACGAGAAAATCACAATGTCACATGTTAGTATTCTATGTTCTTTTCAGCCTAAGCTAATGTTCACAAATCTATTGGACTTCATCAACAGCTAATATTTATAAGAAACAAGTATTTGAAGAATATCAGTTCAACGCTGTTTATGGCTAATCAATAAATGAAACTAAAACTGCTATACTTCGGTATGTACTTTGGTAAGCAAAAAGCAAAATATTACGTACATATTAAAATACGTTTCTTTTATAATTTTATTTTCTGAAATCATTCTTTTTGTTAAAAAAACTTAGATTATTATTTGAACAACTGCCTATTAAGAACATATTAAAAATATTATTCCAAAATAAGAAACATTTCTGGCTTATTTTAATTTTAATAATATTAGCTTCCTAAAGAAATCACATCATAAAAGTAACAGAGTATGCTACCAATGTTATGTAGTAATGCTTACAGTTTAGAATACAAAGATTCTCCTCTTACAAAATCATGTCTTCTGAAGCCCAGTTGTTACAGAACTGAGTGATTGAAGCAGATGATACTAGAATATTTCCATATGAAAATGACACTTGGTTTGCTAACAGATATGTGATCACAGCAGAACACCTCACTTTCCAGCCTAAGTGTACTATCTTTACAACCTAGAACACTTCTTAAGGACAGCAAATTTATGAAAAAGTAACAATTTTCTTAATTTTCTCAAGATAGAAAACATGGTTAAAATGCTCCACAAAGTCACCTTAATTCTGAAGTTGTTACAGAACTCTACTAGTTCTTTTGAACTAACAACCATTAAAGGTAAATTTTAAAAACTCTAGTTTTTTAAAAAATAACTTAAATAATAAAATAGCATTCAATTAAGCAAAAATAGCAAACATTTAGAATATTATGTACCACATTATTTGTGTTTTATAGAGATATAAAAGTATACAATGATTTTATAATAAATATGTCAACTGATTACAGTTCAGAAATACTCTTTTTATATAGTGATCTGGTCATGTATATATGTAAAATGTACTTCAACTTACCAATGTCCTTGCTTTTTTCAGTGAATCCCTTTTCTAAGGTGCTGGACAAAGAACAGCTCCCCAAATCGACTTTTGGAATTTCATTCCTGCAATTAGAAACAAGAGAGATGTTCATTTAAATTGCTTCATTCCCACTTTTTAGCACTGGGGAAAAAGAAGCCTTCCTCTATGCCACTCCAGTGTCACCAGAAGCTGTCAGAGACACCCATCTCTCATAAAACAGTACCCTGCTAGGATTAACCTTATCTTGTTTCTCCTTAACACCTGTCAAAAGAACTTATTTTAGACACAATAATATCCTAAATGATGCCTTAAATACTAGCTGTGCCTTAATACTGAAGATAATTTTTCAGTAATCCAAAAAACAATTTCAGCCTCTCTCAATCATATTACACAAAAGAAAATTTATACTGCAAATTCAACTGTAAAATATATGAGGTGCCCAGCTGCAACAAAATAGTTAAACACTCCCTAGGTCTGTTGCTGGAACCTTTAGTATGATTTGTATTGGCATTAAGGGTTTGAATTACTAATACCCTTCTACTGACCAACTGAAATGGGAGTTTTTTGCATAAATGGGTGGAATTAAAAGGGTAAGCTTTCCTTTAGACCCTAGTATCTGGGGATTTCGACTCAGAAACAGGCAACTATATTTTTGAAAAGAAAAAGGATCGTCCATATGTTATAAATTGTGCCATTTATTCCCAAACCAGACAGAACTGATAGCTCTTTACTTCTTAAAACCACAAGCTCTTTAACAAAACATTCCATTTGTTGTACTGTACATTCATATTTATCTATAGTATGTGAATACTTTATTATTAGTGTCATTCTTTTTTAAAATAGACTTATTCTAGATCGTATGGTATGGAATTTTTATTTTTTCCTTCTAGTTAAAGATGCAAAATAGTCCAGTGCATCTTTTTCACTGGTAAATATAATATTTATTTTCAAAACATGTCTTCTTTGAAATCCGACACAGACTTCCTAAACAAACTGAATGCATTTTTTTGGTAGATTTGAGGCATCAAATAGCACTCCTGCTAGGAAAATTGTGTCCCATCCTGATGAGCAAGTGCTAAGCCTTGATGTCACCTCTGTCCGGAAAACACTGCAGACGGTTAACATTTGGAAAGCAGCAGTCCCAGATAACATCTCTGGATGTGTCCTCAGGGAATGTGCAGAGGAGCTGGCTTGTGTTCTCACAGATATTTTCAACCTCTCATTGCAGCAGGCAGTGGTCCCATCGTGTTTTAAGACGGCCATCATCTTGCCAGTGCCAAAAAAGTCCACAATTACAGGCCTCAATGATTACTGTCCAGTTGCACTGATATCCACCATTATGAAATGCTTTGAGAAGCTGATAAAGGACATTGTTGTATCTAGCCTCCCACCAGCATTTGACCCGCTTCAGTTTGCCTACCGACCAAATTGCTCTAAGGAGGATGCTACTTCTTCTGTCCTCCATCTGAGCTTGAAGCACTTAGAGGAAAGAAATATTCACATGTCTTTGTTGTTTGTCAACTTCAGTTCGGTGTTTAACACAATCATTCCCCAGCATCTAGTAGAGAAACCGGGCCTTTTAGGTTTAACCATTCCTTTGTGCAACTGGATTCTTGATTTTCTTACCAACAGGCCCCAGTATGTGCAAGTTGGAACAAATACCTCTAATACCATTTTCTTGAGACAGGTTCTCCTCAGGGCTGCATCTTAAGTCCACTGCTGTTCACCCTGATGACCCATCACTGTTGTGCTAGGTTTGCCACCAACCATATTGTGAAGTTCGCAGATGATACAACAGTAGTGGGCCTTATTCAGGATGATAAGGTGGAAGCTTACCGCAAGGTTGAGGGGTTGGTGAACTGGTGTAAGGAAAACAGTCTAGTTTTAAATACTGGAAAAACCAAAAAGATCATTGTCAATTTCAGAAAAGGAAAGCACAGCCACACTTCTCTGTGCATTAATGATTCACCTGTGGAGATGGTTACCAGCATCAAATTCCTGGGTGTGCAGCTAACGAGTAGGCTGGCTTAGTTGCTCAACAGTGAGAAACTGGTGAAGCGGGCTCAGCAGCACCTGCATTTTCTGTGTTACATGAGAAAAGCACATCTTCCTTCCCCTGTCCTGACCACTTTCTACAGGGGGATGATCGAGAGCATCCTGTCATACAGCATCACAGTCTGGTTTGGGAGCATCACTGCTTCAGACAGGAAGATGGTGCAGAGAGTGGTGATGATGGCCAAAAAGATCATTGGCAGCTCCCTCCCTCCTATCCAGGACATAACACAGAAATGTTGCTTGAGCAGGGTCCATAGGATTAACTGGGACACTACACATCCTCTTCACGATCTGTTTTCCTTGTTACCTTCTGGGAGGAGGCTTCACGGTATCCATAGCAGAACATCCAGATTCGGTCATAGTTTCATTCCATACAGTATTAACCTTGTGAACTCTCAAACTTCCTCCTTCCATTATATATTCAAGATGGACAGTATTTAATATTTATTTGTTATACATATGTAGGGGTGGGTCTATGCATATGTTGTACATAGTATGTTTAGGTGTGTGTCATGTATGTGTTTCACTTTTGAGAGTGGGCAACTAAATTTCATTTTTGATGTGTGCCGTTGTGCCCACAGTAAAAAAAATGACAATAAAGGTTATCTTATCTTATCTTATCTTATCTTATCTTATTTGAAAGGGATGTTGGAGATCATGTAATCCAAGTCCCATTAGTGGCACAGTAATTAGAATGCAGTATTGTTAGGCTAACTCTACCCACAGCCAGGAGTTCGATCGTGACTGGCCTTCCATCCTTCCAAGGTTGGTAAAATGAGGACCCAGATTGTTGGGGGTAACATGCTGACATTTGTAAACCATTCAGAAAGTGCTGTAAAGCACTATTGAGCAGTACATAAGTGCTATTGTTATCAGGGATTTAATGACCACCTGGCTTCTGTTTAAACTCCTCTAGCACAGTCCCACACACCCTTGTAATGCAGATTGTTCCATTGCTGAACAGCTCTTATTGTTGGATTTTCCCCCCATGATTTCAAATTAAATTATTTAATCCCATTTCACCTTGTCTGGAATAACTCTGAACAATTCTGACCTGTCTTCCACATGATATCCCTTCAGATAATAGAAGACAGTTGTCATTTCTCCCTATGGTCTTAGCTTTCTAAGGTAAACATACCCACTTCTTTATAAATTTTTCCTTGCAGGACCCTTATCTCCTTGACTGCTATTCTCCCGACATAGTCCTGTTTGTCAGTTTCATTCCTAAAATGTGGTGATTAGAATTGGACTCAATAGTCTAGATTTGGTCTGACCAATATAAAATAAAGAACTGTAATGACCCAGGGCATGGCACAGAGACAAAACAGTCAACTGGCAGTTCAAACCGCCCTTTATTTGCTACAATTTTCCCCAAATGCTCCCACATTTCTGGCAAGCCGCAGAACAAATTAAGACACGCACACCTTCAACAGCCTCTGGCTGCAAGTAGCTTCACAAGTTTTTAACTCTTCAGGCAGGGAAAGTGTGTGAATGGAACAAGCTGTCCTCCTTTAGGTTTCGACTCACACACAGTTAGATTAGAAGAGTAATTTACTCAAGGCCACATAGATAACAAGGAAAGAAACATACATCCAAAATCTAATGAGTCTATGGAAATACCAGCTTTTCTGAGCAGTTTCAGAAGAGAAGCCAAAATTCAATCCGAGATCTTGGAACACCAAATCAAGTTTGTCAGCCAGTCCAATGGTCAGAGTTGCAGGGTTTCCAAGCAGAAATCACAACACAGAACAAGAGATCAGAGAGTTGTTTCCAAGATCAGCAACAGCACACACAAAACTCCAAGCATTCAGCATTTGTTCCCGACAAATGCCCCTCCCCACAGCATCTCCTTAAGTCTCAGTCTCCAGGTGTGCCTTGTGGAGAGAGGCTGGGCACTCTCCTTCCGAGTAGTTGAGCCTGCCTGCGTTGTTCCCTCCTTCTCTCCGTGCTCTAGGATCAGGAGCGGACCTGCTGGGCGGGGCTGTCGGTGCCAGAGGTGAGTATAAAAGACACCCCCCCAAAATAAGACTTGGTGCCTCTTTTAGAGGCAAAAAAAAAAAAAAAGTCCCGGTCTTATTTTTGGGGAAACACAGGTAGTACTTACAAGAAAAAGAACAGTGTTTATCAATGTCAGTTGAATAACCATAAATATGTCTTAACAATGTCAATTATTTCAGGCCTGACACTTTCCTTTTTGATATTACAAAAGCTAATTTAGCACTGATTTTATTTTTAAATGATACCAATATTATCAGCAACAATAGACATACCTAATGTTCATGGAGGCAGACACAACCTATTAGTTAAACACTAGGTAATTTCAGAAACCCTTTAGCAAACAGTAGATATAGTGATCATTATGTCATCATCTCTATTAAACAGACCAAACTAATCAGAGGTTGCTTAGGAAAAAGGCTTATAACCCATAACCAATCAGATTTGGTTATATTCTACACCCTGGAAATTTTTCAGCTATATAGAAAAGTAGGTTTATTTCATATTAATACTCCTATACACGGCTTTATAAGTAAAAAATTCAAAAAAATCTTAGTTGCTACAAAAGTTCAACTGGTCTTATTTGATGATGATTATCATAATAAAATGAATCAAAATTATTTATTTACATTACAGGTGCAAAGTACTATGTTTGCGCTGGCCATCTTTTTAATAAGGATTGTTAAAGGTATTTATATAAATTATAAAATTATTTTATTAATTAATTTTTAATTGCTTTTCCTAAAGACAGGAGTCTTGTAAAACCCCAAAAGGAACCAAAGCTATTAATTAATTAATTAATTAATTAATTAATTAATTAATTTTAGCCATCTTACCTCAAGGTAGCTCTGTTGAATTCTATACTCATTTATCACAAAAAGTCTAACTGAAAACAATAAGTAATATGTATAATTCTACATTAGATTACATTTTAACACTTTCTTATTGCATTATATATTTAATGTACTTAATGAAGTTCACAATATATCCTTGATAGCAATGAAGGCTTTGGAAATGATATTCAAATGCTGTAGTTAGAAATATCAGATTCATGCCAAAAATGATTTTCCCTAATACTGGTGAGATAATTGGATTTTGAAGAAGTAGGACAGAAAGAGTGTTGATGGTTCTCAACTTGAAGTTGAGAATACTGATAGCCAAGAAAACAAACAAAAGGCTAACAAAAAAAATCAATCCCGAATTTTCACAAGAGCTATAATAACCAATAAAATCACAACAAATAAACTTGTGTATTTTATAGTTGAATTAAGACAGTAGTTCTCAACCTTTTTAATGCCGCGACCCCCAACCGGTCATAAGTCGATGACTACTCAACCAGTTGTAAGTCGAGGACTACTCAACTGGTGCAGCACCGTTTGCAGAATGGGACTTTTGGCAGGCTCAGCAGGGCAGAGACAGCCTGGACAATTCCTATTGGCTTTTGAAAGCCAATAGAATTAGACTCTATTCAAGAGAGTCTATTCTATTGGCTTTCAAAAGCCAATAGAATAAAAGGGAATAGCACAGCTAAGGAAAAGGGGGAAAAAATGGTGGACTGTGTTGTTTGGTGACCCCCGTGAAATGGTCATTTGACCCCAAATGGGGTCCCGACCCACAGGTTGAGAACCACTGAATTAAGATAATTTTTCTCAACTTCAATCAAACTGTTTTTATTTCATTTATAGTTTAAAGATCAGGTTCAAACTACCATATTGTGGATATATTTTTTGAAGACTCAGCACCCTTGAGAAGACTATAATGCTGGGGAAAAAATGGAAGGAAAAAAAAAGATTGACTGGCAGCAAGGTGGATGAACTAATAACATCAGCAACAAATGCACAACAGAAAAACCTAAAATGCCAAGTTGACAACAGATCATCCTGAATAAAATCTTATATGGTTAATAATGAGATGATGAGAGTGCCAATTCAGTGTAATGCTTAAGACATCAGGCTAGAAACCAGGAGACTGTGAGTTCTAGTATCAGCTTAGGCACAAAGCCAACTACGTGACCTTTGGCCAGTCACTCTTTCAAAGCTCTAGGGAGGAGGCAATGGGAAAACTATTTTTGAAAAACCTCGCCAAGAAAACTGCAGGGACTAGTCCAGGAGATAATACTGACTTAGGCATCAGAAAAATAAAAAAAGATTGATATCAACTTGACAATAGATAATCATTATAGTTAAAAATAAGCAATTAGGTCAAATACCTTGTTTGAATCAGAGGCACAACTGGTCTTTCTGGTCTTCTTGGTGGCAGCGTACCAGGTCTGTTCAAAGAGTTTGTTTTTGGTGGTCGAGGTTTCTTGGGTGGTATAGCAGGAACAGAAGGCTTCTGTAAATCTAACATTTTTGGCTCTCTCTCTGGTCTTTCTTCAAATCAATTTTCCATCCAAAAGAATAAAGACATTTTTAAGCCGAATGATCATATACAATAGCTACAATAGCCAACAAAAGGAAAAAAGAAAAAAAACAACTAGCAATTGATTTACTGTCACAGCAAGTATATTATAGTTAGCCGCCTAGAGTCATTGAGAGTTGGGCAGTATATAAGTTTAACAAATTATGGTTCATCAAACAGTCATCTAGATGTTTAGACTGGATTTGGCATTTTTATCCATCTATTGAGTCCTTCCTGTGGACCTGCAATAGCAGATGTTATTTGATGATGTTAAAGGTATTGTTGCAGGATGTAAGCCAATTAAAGCTGCCTTTTGCAACTGACTGACGGTGATTTTGTCAATGCTGATGGCGCTCAAATGATGTTCTTGATATTTTAGGAATCCATCAAAGGCATCTACCATTATTGGTACTATCTTTGCTTTCTTTTGCCATAATTGTTCTACCTCTATTTGCAAAGCTTTGTGTTTTGTGATTTTCTTCAATTCTTTTTCTTCTATTCTGCTTTCTCCTGTCTGCCACGTACACTACCCAGACTTTTTGTCTTTATTAAATTATTAGTATATTTTTATTAAACAAATTGCATTTTTCATTTATAACTTTAAAAAAACAGAATTAATTTTCTGCGTGCTAAATTTTTTTAAAGTTGTTATTTTTAACAATAAATGTGAATCTTAATAACTTGCTACTGTTGCCCAATTTAAGAATATTATAAAGGAATTCTTAAAATTTAACTAAAATGTATAAGTAGTTTACATCCATTTTTTCTTATATTCTAAAATATTATATAATTATTATCTAATATTTGAACCACAATTTAATGACTGGATGAATTTCATGATTTAATGGACCAATAGGGGATGGGAAGGAAGGATATCTATCAAGCCTGAACTCACATTAAATTAAAATACAGGTAACTGACCTCATTTGCAATCTGAAGTAATGTTTTATTCCATTTGCAGAGTTAAATAATAGATTTAATTATTTGTATAAATTGATCCAATAATTATAAATTACATAATATTGCAAATGATATCAATTGTCCATACTGCTTCAAAAGCAACAGCATTTGCTTGCTTTTTAGAATGAAAGTAAAGTTTTTTCCGGTTATATCAAGGTTCTGTTGAATCAATATCTAGAGAATCAAAAGTTCTATACCGGAATAGCCTTGGATGTTCTCAAGAAGCCTTACATATATTTCATCTAACATTTCAGGCTTTCTTATATAGAGAGAAATAACATGCAGTTTTAAATAAAACAAAAGAGAAACTCACAGAACCTTATTTCATTGCTGATGCTTCTGGCACTGTTTTACAAGTAATCATACAAGTGGGAAATTTGGGCCACAACGGAACCTGGTGGCATACGTGTCACACTCACAAGTTAATTTCTACACATTACAATATGGAATTCCCTTATTCCTGTTCCAGAAATTATATATAACAAAGATTTTTGTACCAGTGTTTCTGAGTCTCTGATCAAAAAAATTAGACCAGACAAGATATAAATGCAACTTGTCTCTTGGATGAAGGATTAAAATATAGGTACAAAGGTGGTTTTCAAACAGAATTACAATTCTTACCTTTTTCTTCTATTCGATGAGGAAGACATTCTGGCCTCTCAGGAGGAACTTTTTTAATTTCATGCTTTCTGTCTGTAGTAGCTATCAAAAAGCATAATATTAAACACTTAAAAAGAAGGCAATAAAGATTATTTTTCTGCTCTGCTAATTTAGTAGTTTTTCATTTAAAATGTGATAGGCTGTTTCTCTATGGATTACACACGTAGACCTATTTATATTTAGGAATATTTCAGTTTCAATTAAACTCTGTTAAACTTGGGTTCTTTGTGTCAGATACAGTACCAAATCAAGTAGATTTTAAAATTTAAAATCACAAGAAGTGATTACCACTGCTATGGCACTTAATAGGAAAAAGAGATTCACTGCTTTGGTTTGCTTATATGAAAATGATCCATCATAATAATTCTTATTGGATGTCAGTTTACAAGTGAATTCAGCAATATTTCAGAATTGCCAAAGGTTTATTTTATGTCTATTGTAGCTAAAGCTAGAATACTCATGATTATATTTATGCCTCATGTTATAAATTGACTAATTAATTTAATTAAAATAATCTGTCCTATTGCAGGAGCAAGAGAATTAAACTGAAAGAAGTCTTTGTAATTCCATAACTCATATATGAAGTGTAGCATCCTAAACGAATATTTCATGTGTTTATTAGGATACAGAAATGCCCTTTTTAACTGTCTCCTCCTTCCAGACAAATTTAGTGGATTCATTTGAATGTAGGGTGCATACATTTATTACCATACAAGTGTGGGTGAATTTTTACTCATAATCATAATTATGCATATAAAGTAAGATTCAAAATACAGAGAATAGTGTATTTACAGCTGTTTGTCCATTATTCTTTCCAGTGCCTATATGTTTTAGGATTTTATTTCATACTTCTTCTCTTTTATTCCTTGGGTTATGAGCTGGTAACACATGATGACTTTTTGAAGCTGTCATTAAGTAAACATTGCAGTTATTAAGTGACATCACAGTTGTTAAATGAATCCATTATAATCAATGGGTGGGTTTTCCAGAAATCAGAAGTAAATGCTGAAAACTGGAAAAAAAATGCCAAAAATCATGGTCACATGGCTGTAGGATGCTACAAATGGTTGTAAATGTGAGCAAACTGCCAGGCAATCACAGGGCTGCAGGAAGGGTGGAGGGGGGCAGCTGTTCAGAATATAAATAGATCTGGTGAGGTCCATTATAATTTTGAATGGATACTAGGTGAGGAGTACCTGTAATTGCAATTTAACCATTTAACATGGTATGGTATATACAGTAGCTGAGAGCATATTAAGAGACACCAAATAGATTGTTGTATATTTAAGAGCATATTTATTGATGCTGTAAATTACCTGATCCTTGTTTGAAAGGAGCTGAAGGAGGTGGAGGCTTTTTAGGTCTCTAAAATAAAAGAAAATGAATAAATAAAAGATTATTAACAAAGAAATGAAAGGTGGCACCTGATAGGCAAACGACACCATAAAAACATGAATATTTATCAAATATCAAAAAATATCAATATGCAGATTATATTTTATAAAACTGTATAGTTTCCATTAATTGTGATTTTTTTTAAAAAAATGAATTATGTTTTATTGTGTTTTAGATGGGCAACATTTGTAAATGATATAAAAGTTAATTTGCTTTACAATGATAGGCAAGTTGCTCCTACCTCTTTTTCAAAATCAGGAAGTAATAGTTTTACAAAGTTATCAGGGAATACTCCTCTTCTACCATTAAGTTCTCCTTCCCACCAGCCAGCATCAATGCAATCCTATGATACATAAGAGTGTATATTGAAAGACAATTATTCTATAAATCAGGATTCTTTTTTCTTGTGCATTGATAATAAATAGACAAATACCTTGAAACAGTAGTTATTATGATATATCACATTCCTCTATAATTGTTTTGACCAGGAAGTCATAGCACTTACTTCAGAAAGTGGGATTTTCTCCACATGTAATGTGCTGTTCTTACCAATATGTGAAAGATCTTACTGCCATTCTCATTCTTCATTTTGTAAAATATTGGATTATTACAAAATAAGTAAACCCATCATTACAGAATCTAGCTATAGAATTCTTAATCAATCAACCTATCAATCAATTAGAATAGAGCTGGAAAGGACCTTGGATGTCTTCTAGTCCAACCCCCTGCTCAAACAGGAGACCCTATACTATTTCAGACAAATGATTGTCCAGTCTCTTCTTAAAAACCTCCAGTGATGAAGCACCCACAACTTCTGACGGCAAGCTGTTCCACTGGTTAATTGTCCTCACTGTAAGGATGTTTCTCCTTAATTCCAGGTTGCTTCTTTCCTTGATTAGTTTCCATCTATTGTTTCTTGTCCTGTCCTCTGATGCTTTGTAAAATAAGTTGAACCCTTCCTCTTTGTGGCAACCTCTCAGATACTAGAATACTGCTATCATGTCTCCCTAGTCCTTTTCTCTCGATTAGTCAAATCCAAATGCTGCAATGATTCTTCATATGCTTTAGTCTCCAAGCCTTTAATCATCTTAGTCACTCTTCTTTGCACTTTTTCCAAAATCTCAACATCTTTTTTGTAATGTGGTGACCAAAAATGAATGCAGTATTCCAGGTGTGGTCTTTCTAAGTATTTATAAAGTGGTACTAATACTTCACATGATTTTGATTCTATGCCTCTGTGTATACAACCAAGGATTATATTAGCTTTGTTTGACTGCTGCTGCACACTACTGGCTCATATTTAAGTGATCGTCCACTTGGACTCCAAGGTCCCTCCTCTACCTTTTGGATGAGAAAGTTGTCAGCTAACTTGGTTAGGAATCTGTTCGATCTTCCATTTGCTGCAGTGTTTATCTCTCAGTTGATATCAGGGTAGATAAAGTCCAGTTGCTTTTCAAAAAAGCATCTTTTAGACAGCATATTTGTCAACGCTGCTAACATTGGATGTTCTTGCTTTGACAACAGATGGAAATGTAGCCATCTTTTCTCTTTCGCTTTTAGAGTTAGATGATGCTGGGAGAGGGGATGTGGATGAGAGTCCAGTTAGTCATAACAACAATAACTCAGCCATGGGAATCAAGGTTATTGTGCCCAGAACTGATAAAGATTTGGCGGGCTGGAGAGCTGGGGAGAAAGCCCATGCTTCAAGCTATTTGGGGAATATGATTTATGACTGTTAATTGGAGGAGGGAATTGTGCTTTGCTACTTTGTGCCCGGGGGATGTGTGTGTGGAATTCAGTTTTTGGCTTTAACTATGTAGTGCCGATGCTTTGTTTCTTTAATAAAAGATTATTTAAGGTAAACAATGCCTCAAAATTCTTTTAAAGAGTTTCATCTGTTGGGACCATGACATTAAGCCAAAAACTGCAATTTTTTCCTATCTATCTTGGGATCCCGAGCCCCAGTCGCTGTCCCTAGAATCAAGGGATAAGATTCAGGGAAGATCTCAGCATGAAGAAAGAAACAGCACCTGAAACCAGCACCCTGGCAGCGGCTGCTACCCCAGAAGGGGAAGCGACAGCCAGCGCACCAGTGGAGAAGGAACTTTTTCAGGCCTCCCAGCTAGGGGCAAAACTGGACCCAACCAAAGTGAAAAACGTAATTAAATAGCAACTCCCAAAGACTCGCATACAGCTCCAGAGCTTTCTGTGATTCGCCAACTTCTACCATCAACTCATCCCCTTCTTCGCTAAAATTGCCCTGCCCCTTATGGAATTACTAAAAACAGGCAAAGGGGAAGGAAAGCCACATCCGGGCCAACCATTAGCATGGACTATGAATTGTCAAACTGCTTTTGAAGATTTAAAAAGACTATTTGCGCTTGAACCGGTCTTAAAACATTCTTGCCTAGGGAAGTCCTTTTGATTCAAGTCAATGCCAGCAATGTGGCTGTCTGAGCTGTGCTACTGCAAGAGAACCAGAGTGGGATCCTACAATCCTGCGCCTACACATCAGACAAATTCACTGAATGCAAGAGAAGGTGGGCTATGTGGGAAAAGGAGGCTTTCATAATACGCTGGGCTCTATTAAACTGGTGAAACTATCTAGAGGGGAGTAAGGTGCCTTTCGAGGTATGGACTGATCACAGAAACCTAGAAGCACTAAAAACTCCCAGCAAATTGTTTCCGAAACAAGTACGATGGGCACAGTACTTTAACCGTTTTAACTTCACCCTAAAATACATACCGGGACGAAAAAACTTCTTAGCTGATGCTCTATCCAGACTGCGTGAAGAGGTTAATGAAGCAATTATCTCCAATCCACAAACCACTTCTCAGGTTACACTGTGCAGAGTCCCACCTCCAAGAGCCCCTAATCCCAATGACCCTGGGGCAAAGAAAATAAAACAAGAGCTCCTCACCAACCACTGGTTCAAGGACAATCAAACCTCCTTAACATGCAGGGACAGTTTGGCTTAGAAAGGTGGAAAACTATATTTGCCAGAGACCCCCCATCTTAACACACTCTGACACAGCACGACGTAAAACAGGCTGGGCACTTTGGATATTTAAAAACACTACACCTCATCCGCCATCAATTCTGGTGGCCAGGATTGAAATGGGACGTGGAAAACTATGTCTGGAGTTGTGCTGTATGTGCCACCATGAAAACAATTCCGGGGAAAACCCCTAGGTTATTGCAACTGGTGGCAGACCCTCCCCAATCATGGGAAGAAATTGCTATGGATTTTATAGTGGATCTACCTGAAAGTAGGGGAAATACAGTCATCTGGACTGTGATAGATCTGTTCTCAAAGCAGGCTCACTTCATTGCCTGCAAAGGGCTCCCATCCGCCCAATGACTAACCAAAATGTTGCTGAAACACATCTACAGATTGCATGGCACATCTAAACGAATAATCTCTGACAGAGGAGTGCAGTTCATAGCTAAGTTTTGGAGACGTTTTCTTAAACTAATTGGCTCATCTCAAAGACTACCATCTGCTTTTCATCCGTCTATTAATGGGGGGGCTGAATCAGCGAACTCAATGGTGGAGCAGTATCTCAGATGCTACGTTAATTATGAACAAACGAATTGGACTGACCGACTCCCTTTCACAGAAGTGGCTTACAATAACTTTGTTCACAGCAGCACCGGCTTCACGCCTTTTTAAAGTGGCCACAGGAAAAGAGTTCAGCCTGATACCCGAATATCCCCAAGCACCCTCCGCTTCTCAGACTCTTGATCAATGGGTGAGGGGGTGGGAAGAAGTTTGGAAAACCACAAAAACTGCTTTAAAAAAGGCTTCCGAGACATACAAAAAACAGGCAGATAAAAAAAGGCTCCTCAAAGAACATTCCAAGTTGGGGAAAAGGTTTATCTGTCAATTAAATATTTATGGCTTAAGTTACCTAGTAAGAAGTTAGTACCGAAGTACATAGGACCTTCCCCATTGTAAACATCATTAACCCGGTCAAGTGGAATTAAAACATCCTAGGCTCTTAGGAAAAATTCACCCTGTTTTTCATTGTAGCCTGTTGAAACCTTTTTGGGGTTCCACTTTAAGACCACCCCCTAAGAAGAAACCTGGGCCCTTTGTGGTGGCAGGACAGACTCACATGAAGTAAAGCATATTCTTGATTCTAGAATGTTTATGGGGAAATTGCAGTACTTAGTGCAATGGAAGGGATATTCGTTGTCTGAGACCACCTGGGTGAAGTCTAGTGATGTGAAAGCTGACATTCATTAATAGGTTCTATAAGAAACACCCTAATAAACAAAGAGGCAATCCCTAACCTCTGCTTTTGTCTACATTACAGGATTTGTCCTTTTTTGTAAGGGGGGGCCGGATGTCAACGCTACTAACATCGGATGTTCTTGCTTTGAGAACAGATGGAAATGTAGCCATCTTTTCTCTTTCGCTTTTAGAGTTAGATGATGCTGGGAGGGGGGATGTGGATGAGAGTCCAGTTAGTCATAACAACAATAACTCAGCCATGGGAATCAAGGTTATTGTGCCCAGAACTGATAAAGATTTGGTGGGCTGGAGAGCTGGGAGAAAGCCCACGCTTCAAGCTAATTTATGATTGTTAATTGGAGGAGGGAATTGTACTTTGCTACTTTGTGCCTGGGGGGGGGGGGGGAGAAATTCAGTTTTTGGCTTTAACTATCTACTGCTGATGCTGTGTTTCTCTAATAAAAGATTCTTTAAGATAAACAATTCCTCAAAGTTCTTTTAAAGAGTTTCATCAGTCAGAACCATGACATAAAAATTTCATCTGTCGGAACCATGACATAATACAAAAAATATGATTATTTTAAAGGTGGAGAGGAAAATATATGTCTGGATATCTGGGTTTTAAAAAAAATGTTCTCCATTTACTGCCACTTTGTAGTTTCTCTGCCTCCTCTCCCAAAGTGCTAAATGGGAGCTAACATAACTGATTTGCAAACTATGATTGATCACTATATGGTGAAAATAAATACTTGAAACAATTTATTTGCTGCCATCTAATGGCTTGTTTGGAGCTCAGCATACTAGATAATGTAATCCAGGGGTGTCAAACTTTCAACGTGATGTGACATATAGTGACTTTTTTGCCATTGCCAGCAATGGTGTGGGTGCGGTTTTGCTATGATGCATCTGGCCTGCAGGCTAGCAGTTTGACACCCCTGAGGTAGTCAAACTGTTGTGTAAAAGTGCATGCAGAGATAAGATAAACTTGGTTTCTAGAATTTAAAAACTACTTGATATGATCAAACGTAGCCTGGAATCTTAAGCAGTACAGCAAATTGACTCTCTAAAGCATGGGTGTCAAAGTCGATTACGTCATGTGACGTTTTGCAATGTTTTATGTTTTGTGGAGCCAGGGTAAGTGTGACCTGTGTGTGATACATCCGGCCCACGGACTGCCAGTTTGACACCCCTGCTCGAAAGATAATAAATTATTTCACGTTGTACCTCCAACCAAATGGAAACTTGGATTTATTGACAGATGTTTTGATGGCTTGAAATAGATCAGCAATGAACCCTAATTACCCATCACTTGAAAATAACAACAAAATAATCCTTTCTCTCTCCTATTCAAAATTTTTATTTCTGAATTTAACAATAGGGAAGAGAAAAGTAATCATTAGGACTGGATAATAATAATAATAATAATAATAATAATAATAATAATAATAATAATAATAATACAAGTTGGAAGGGACCTTAAAGGTCATCTAGTAGTCCAACCCCCTGCTCAGGCAGGAAACCTATATCATTTCAGACAAATGGTTGTCCCGTCTTTTCTTAAAAACTTCCAGTGTTGGAGCATTCACAACTTCTGAAGGCAGGTTGTTCCACTGATTAATTGTTCTAACTGTCAGGAAATTTCTTCTTAGTTCTAGGTTGCTTCTCTCTTTGATTAGTTTCCATCCATTGTTTCTTGTCCTGCCCTCAGGTGCAGGTGCATATAAATGAGTTCCATTCAATTTTGGTATCCAAAAAAAAGTTGTAGGTTTAGAATTCTTTAAGATCAAGGTTTATAATTTAATTCATGGTTAATTGATGGTTGTCACTGGTGGATAGTGGAGATTTAGTTTTGTTTTTGCAGCCTTTTCTCACTGTGGCCGGCAACTTGCCCTAGGAAGTTCACTAGTATCCCAACAAATGTCATTCAGAAGCAGTCATATTGTCCTTAAAGCTAATAGCTAATGATCCCTACGACTTTCATGAGTCAGTCTAATCTTTTTTTTTTTTTAAGCTAGCCAGGTTGGTAGCCAGCATCACATATCATGGTAGCAATTTAATTATGCATTGCATAATGCATAATCATCTGTATGTTTCTTCCAATATGCCATTTCTTTGGATAACATCTGGTTCTAGTATTCTGAGAAAGAGAAAATAAACCTTTTTTATCCACTTTAACCACACAATGCATAATTTTGTGTACCTCAATCACATCCCCTCTCAATCGCCTCCTTTTTAAACTAAAAAGCTCCAAACAAAGCAACCTTTCCTCATCATCATCTTAGCTGCCCTCTTCTGATTTTCCTCTAGTTTTTTAGCCACTGCTTATCCACAAGACAACCTGCCCTTTTATTCCATGACTACTAAACTTATTGAGAAGTCATTGACAAGGAACTTTATCAAAGGCTAGATGATATCTACTGGCTTGTTCTTATCCAAATGTTTATGAACATCTTTAAAAAGCTCTAATAGATTCATTAATCTTCCCTTATTGAAGCCATGTTGGGTATCCTTGAACAAGATTTGCATCTCCAAATGTTTGGCAATTTCTGCTATCTTCCCTGGGCAGATGTTAAGCTGACAAGCCTATAATTTCCTGGATCTCCCCATGAACCCTTCTTAACAATTAGAGTTATATTGGTCACCTTCCACTCCCTCAGCTACAGAAGTCAAATAGAGATAAATTGAATATATGAATTATGGAGTCCATAATTTCAGCTTTATGCCTATTTGCTCAGCTTTCTTTTTGAACAGGATTTTTAAACTTTTCAGGACTAGAAAAGTCCCAACTGTTTCTTGAGAAAAACAGAGGAAATAAATTAATACTGAAATAAAATAGCTTGAAAATACTTTTTAGTTTTACCTTACATTTAATATGTATTAAAAGAACTGGTTTGATAGGCTGTTTTAAATTCCTATAATAAATTATTAGCTAATTAATTCCACATTTTATTTTAAAAGCAACAACATTCTTCCAACTAAGTTCTTCAATAATATACTTAGCTGCAAACTAATGGTTCTTCCATATGTCAAAGTTCAATTACTTGTTTGTAATGCATAAAGAAATAAAGTTCAACCAGTTTCACTTTGGGCACTGTGATATTTTCTTATTATATCAGCTGTTTTGAAACAACCCACCCCTCGTTGTTTGTTTTAACATTGGAAATATTATTGATCAAAATTCGAGAATCCCAGGAAATTAAAGGAATATATGTTAATAAAAAAGAATATAAGTTAAGAGCTTTTGCGGATGACTTGGTTGTTACTTTGTCGCAACCTGATTATTCTGTAATAAACTTATTACAGTTGATTCATCATTATGGCTTGGTCTCGGGTTTTAAGATTAATGTAAATAAGACCAAAATTTTACCTAAAAATATGTCTAGTCAGGAGAAGCAGATTTTGACTAACCTGACGGGTTTTGAGATTGTTAATAAGGTAAAATATTTGGGGGTGATGTTGTCTGTTTCTAATGTAAAATTATTTAAAAATAATTATGAAAGGTTGTGGGTCAGGGTACAGAAGGACTTGAAGAACTGGGAAAAGTTGCAATTATCCCTCATGGGAAGAATTGCAGTGATAAAAATGAATATTTTACCTAAGTTTCTTTTTTTGTTTCAAATGTTACCAATTTTGAAAAATGAGATTAATTTAAATGAATGGCAGAAGGGTCTTAATAAATTTATCTGGGCAGGGAAAAAGCCAAGGGTTAAGTTTAAAATTATGCAAGACTTTCGTGAGAGGGGTGGACTTAAGGTACCAAATTTGAAATTATATTATGATGCGGTGGTTTTAACACTAATTAGTGATTGGATAAATTTGACAAACTCTGAGATACTTTATCTAGAGGGATGGGATTTACTTTATGGGTGGCATGCCTATTTAATATTCAATAAAAAAATGGATTGGGCTTTTAAATCTCATATTTTAAGAATCTCTTTATTTAGGATTTGGAGAAAATATTATAAAAGTGATTTCAAAGTACCATTATGGGCTATACCTTGGCATGCGATAGAAGCAATAAAAAGAGGGGTTAAAATGGATATGGTGTCTTATAGACAGTTACTTAAATGGGATGGACAAAACTGGCAATTAAAATCACGGGAAGAGTTAGCACAAGAAAACTTTATTTATTCTTGGTTCCAATATAGGCAATTACTAGACAGATGGAAGATGGATTGTAAGGTGGGTTTTCTTAGAGAAGATGAAAATCTTATTAAGCAAGTGAAGGATTCAAGACAAACCCACATTAAGAGAATTTATGCGGTTTTAGTTGAATTGGATTCAGAAACGGAACTAATTAAAGATTGTATGATAAGATGGGCGCAGAATTTTGGTGAGCCAGTCTCATTGGACACCTGGGAAAAAATTTGGGTGAGAAATGTCAAATTTACACAAGCACAGAACTTAAGGGAGAATTTTTATAAAATGTTTTATAGATGGCACCTTGATCCACAAAAAATGTCTTATATGTACCCTGACGTGCAACCCAAATGTTGGAGATGTGGTTATAAGGAGGCTTCCTATTATCATATTTGGTGGTCATGTAGAGAGATAAAAGCATTTTGGATCAAAGTATGGTGGAATATCCAGAGAATTTTTAGAAGGAGGGTAAAATTTACTCCGCAATTATTTTTGTTAGGTATTGTTACAGATTGTGATACAAAGGAGGTTGTATTTGATGTTAAATTTGATTACAGCCGCTAGGCTGTTAGTAGGACAATATTGGAAGAAGGAATCCTTGCCTACATTGCAGGAATGGTTTCTTAAAGTAGCTTATCTGGCGGAAATGGCAAAGATCTCGGCTTTCTTAAAGCAACAAACGCAAGAGAAGTTTTTTGCTGTTTGGGATAAATGGATAAAATTTATACAATTTAGATTGGGTATACAAAAATATTATATAGTTTTTTCATAAGTTTTATTTTTATATATATTATAGATAATTTTTTTATATATATAAAGTTTTTAATTTAATTTTAATTTTTACTTTTTAAGCCTATATTCTGCTCTGGGAAGCTCAGGGGGGGGGGAAGGGAGGGGGGTTTTTTGGGAGGGTGGGGGGGGTTTTTTTATTTTTATTTTATATATGTATTGTTTAGTTTTATTTTTTTGTATATGTTGTCTCTTGTTTTGTATTCTTTTTTCTTTTTTGTAAAACTTATAAAACTTTTAATAAAAAAAAAAAAAAAAAAGAAACAACCCACCCTAAACATTAGGCATTATGCTCAAACTAAGTACTCAGTTTGATTAGTTCATCCAATACAGCATTTTTCTATAAAATGGTATGACTGTAAACAAAGAGTATAATTACCTTATTGACAAGAGTAACAATATCACCTTCTTTGATTGTCAATTCATCTTCATTCTGTGCTTCATAAGGAAATATAACTTTGCAATACTCCTTCACTAAAAAGAAAAGTGGTGTATTTCAATACATTTCACCAACTTCAGAAGTAAATGTGAAGAAATAAAACTTGCTAGGTCAAGGATTAGAATTATATTAAAATAACTTTCAATAAACAGTAATAAAGATTGTAGCAGAAATAGCCATTAGCTACAACACTAGTTGGAAATGTTTTGTTAAACCTTGCTTTATGGCAATATTGTTCTCTTCCTGAATTTGATGCTATGAGGAAGAATCTTTATAAACAGAAAGTGGGAGAGTTTCTCCAATACTTTTATGAATATTCTGGTTTATATAAAGAAGAATATAAATGCACCCACATTCTTAAGAAGTCAACCACGTTATTCCATTTAATCTATATAAATAAAAATGTAAATGTTCGTTTGTTCAAAATCTTAAATCTCTGAAACTTCTCCACCGACTGCTTTGAAATTTTGACACAACGTTGCATTCGAATACGCGCGTGTTTTTATGTACCTATATTATATAGATGTCACACCTGTGACAGGTAAAAACATGCTTTTTTGAAAAACAGCGTCATCTGTTGGACGTAAAAGCAACACACGCTACGATTTCAGACAATCTCTATATCTGCACAGACAATGGAACAACAAAAAATATTATATACCCACAAGCATTGTGAAATTAAACATATTACAAACGTGCGCTTTCTCTTTTCTTTCTTTTCCATTTAACCAGACTGAGCCACAGCAACGCGTGGCTGGGTACAGCTAGTATGAGAATAAAAGCATGTAACATTCCAAATTTTAAAGAAAAAATAAAAAATAAATAAAAGAAAAAATGCACTTTAAATATGTGTTTTCAGTTGATATTCTTAAAGTATTCACAACAAGTCTTAGCATTTTAAGGTAGACCAGATTTGGAAGCCAAAGTTATAAATACTACTATTATCATAGAGTTACATTAACAGAATCTTACAAATCTGTAAGTGCTCCTCTTTCCCTTTATGTACAAGAAAACTAGAATGGGTCAAATGTGAGTTTTTTTTTTCTCAAATTACATTTCTGCTTTGGTTTCAGATTTACCCTACCTAACCACTGTCTTGGCTATGGCTCTTCTTCCTGTTCCTCAGGGTTATTCCCACAGCCCATTACTACTAGTCATACTTTATCTATTTTTGAGATAAATGCCATTGCCTGCATTTGTAGGTTAATATCATAGATACCCGACCCTACATCATGCTGTGCTGCTTATTATAGGGGTGGCAGTAGGATGAGTGAAGAATACTGGGAGGGTATCCCAAGAGTATGCAATCTCAGTATGGTCACCCAAAACATGAAGGTCATGTTAGCTGCCAAGCTGAAACACACAGGCATTTATATTAGGCAACACCAATCCAGTGGAACATACTTAGTAATGAGGGGTCCTTGGTGCTCTCTGAGCTTGCTTGTTTTCTTGCATACATTTCATTACCCTAAATAGGTAACATCTTCAGTGCTAGTAAGAAGTGCTGTTTGCTGTCTGTTTAAATTCTGGTCTCTTGCCTGTCTTGTTTACTAATGGCTCTGTGGCAGTTTCTTGATTGGGTTATTGCTAACTTGATGGTTAAACTGTCTATATGTTGTGAAATTAAAAGAATTTTTGTCATGCCTTTTGACTGCTAGTTGGTGTTCATGGATGCGTTCTGCCAGTCTTCTGCCTGTTTGTCCTACATAGTAGTTGTTGCAGTTCTTATACTGTATGTTGTAGATGACTCCTGTTTTTTCTTCTGGGGTTTCTGGGTCTTTGGGTTTACTTAGGATGTTTTGAAGGGCTTTAGTTGGCTTATGTGCTACGCTGATTCCAAGTGGTTGTAACAGTATATTTGCAGTTTCTGAGATATTCTTGATGTATGGCAGTGTAATTCTTTTTAGGGTTTGTGTTGGTTGTGCTGTATTAGGTTGAGTGGTCATGGACTTTTTGATGAAGTTGTGTGGGTATCCATTTTGTTGTAATGTGTTGCATAGATGCTCCATTTCCTTTTTCTGCTGTTCTGGGTTGCTGCAGTGAGTTTGGGCTCATTTAAATAAAATCCTTACACATACTTAGTAATAATGGCAAAAGCATCAAATCATATTGTATGGGAAAAGGTAATGGTAAATCACCACTGTATTTTACCAAGAAAACCACATGGATAGAAAATATAAAATGAGTGACAATACACTGTAAGGTGGGTTCCCTAAAGCCAAATGACCCCAACATGCTACTGAAGGAAGAGCTGATGATCTTTCAGAATAATAATACTGTTGGCTGGATTAAAGTCTTTGGGATGTTTAATTATTGATATTAATGTTGACATATATATAAAAAAATCCAAAGCTGCAAAAAGATAATTCCTGGAAATCTAGAACATAAGACATATGAACATGGGAAAGCTCATCACAGTGAAAAATGAAATTATTGGCCATTGGTCAGAATTCTTAAGGTGAATTTAACATGGAAAATGAAATCAAAGGGATATTCCAAATTGTATAGGTCACTTTAAACAATACCTTTGCATTCCTTACATGTACACATGGCTGTGCACTAGATTATTAGAACAGAAAGGTATTTTGGATTTAGATTCCCAGGATCAAATGTAGAATATGTAGGAACCATTAGAGCCAGTTAGGTCATGTGGTTAAGGCACCAGGCTTGAAAGCAAGAGACTGTGAGTTCAAGTCCTACCTTAGCCATGAAAGCCAGCTGGGTGACCTTGGGCCAGCCACTTTCTCTCATCCCAACTCACCTCACAGGTTTGTTATTGTGGGGAAAATAGGAGAAGGAATGTATGTTGAATGTGTTTACTGTCTTGAGTTTATTTTTTATAAAAATAATAAAGGTGGGAAATAAGTAAATAAACAATAAAACAAAAAACCCAAATGGATATGATAATCAGACCACTCTACAAAAATACTATGTCCCTCTTTCAATTAAAAATTATATTCAATATATTTCACTGGTAATTTAGGAATCAACTAACTATAAGGAAAAGAGCCAGTTTGGTGCAATAATTAAGGCATCAGGCTAGAAAACAGAAGACACCTGTCTTAGGCACAAAGCCAGTCAGTCACCCTATCACAGTCCTAGGAAGGAGGCAATGCCCCATACTCAAACTTTGCATTTCACAAAGATTAAACTATTTGTAAGAGATGCCTTGTGCTGCCACACAGAATCAGAAGTGACAGAATCATCAACAGAAAAAAATAAGATTGAAATGCATGGTTCTGTTATCTTAGTAGTGAATACAGTATTATAGTGTACTTAGCCATAGTATGTTTAGTATATTCTTACAAACTGAACCAGCTGTTTGCTTAGTTTGTTATCAACCTTTGAGGATGTAGTTCTCAATGCCTCTTTAAAGAAGTTTTTGCCTGGTACACACAGTAGTCACATGATCCCATGACATTACATATTTGAGCTAAGGAAGTTTTTTCATTATTTCCCATTTGTTTTATTTTAAAATGTTAAAATCTCCCACAATATTTCCTTCTCACCAGAAAATTTATGCACTAAAAGTTTTTCCTATACAAAATTAAGCAGTTCCCTCTGATGTTATCCTGTTCATAGAGTGGCACCATTATTTAGGCAGTTTACACTTCTACAGTGTGTCCCCAAATTTCTCCAACCAGAATGTAATGAAAAAAGCAGGAAGACTTACTCTTTGTTCTGCTATCCAATTCTATTTTTGTTGTCTCCTGGACTGTTGTAGCTGTGGGCATTCTTTTTCCAACTGTCTGTACACATAAAAATAATTAAATAATGCCATTTATAAAATACCATCACTCATTATTTCCTCATTTAAGTCATAACAGTCAATGAAAATATGAAAAAAGTGATTTAATTTATTACCTGCCACAATGTCCTTAGTTATTTTAACTAAAACATATTTTTAAATGACAAATATATTTAACTAGTTCTTAATTGTTTCTTTGTGACTTTATTACATATTTGTGCAAAAGAAATGATTAATCAATCAAATTTATATAGCCACCTATGTCACTGAGGCTACTTGGAAAATTATGTATTTGCAATCATATTAAGGTTTTATTGATACTTGCTTGTTCCAAAGTAACTATTAACTATATTTTATCTTGATTATTTATTAACCATATTTAAGCTTTCAGTATTCTCAGTAAAAATAAAATTGTTTAAACAGAATTTAATATAATGTAATATGATTTATGTTAAAAAATTTATGGTTTAAAGACCAGGGTTAAAGGTGATTGACCATACTAAAGAGAAACAATATTAAGAAAATGAAAACATTAAAAATGAAAATGAAAGTTTCACTATGGAAGGAAAAAGTATGTAATTAGCAGTTAAAATCGTCAGCAGAGTATATGTCAGGGGTAGGCAACCCAAAACACTCAAAGAGCCACTTGGACCCGTTTCCCACCAAAAACAAAACACTGGGAGCCGCAAAACCCTTTTGATATCTAAAATGAAGATAACACTGCATATATCCTTTTTTACCTTTATTATAGGTGTGTGTATGTGTATGTGTATGTGTGTGTGTATATGTGTATATATATATATACACACACACACAAACACACACACAGACACACACACACATATATGCACATTAAAAATAAAAGTAAAAATATGACTCTTGGGAATATCCATACTATTAAAACAATGATCACCAAGAGAATGCTTTAAGAGAATAAAATTACATACACACATAGGTAAAAAAAAGGATATATGCAGTGTTATCTTCATTTTAGATGTCAAAAGGGTCTCTCTCTCCCTCCCTCTCTATCTGCCCTTGGTCTGCCACTCCTCTTCCCCCACTCTCTCTCTCTCCCTCTCTCTCTCTTTCTCCCCCCCCTATCTGCTGCTCACCTGGCAAGCTTCAAGCTGTTGTCCAACAACCTCCGGGGTAGGCAACCTCGTCTCTTTTATGACTCATGGACTTCAACTCCCAGAATTCCTGAGTCAGCCTAGCTGGGCTAGCTAGCTCTCTCCTGCCCTTCCTGCTTCCTGCTTCCTTCAGAGACGCAGCAAAGGGAGGAGCTCCGCCCAGAAAACTTTTCAGCTCCTCGGAGAACACTGTGAGTGCACTCTCTTTTACACATACACACACACGCACGCACGCACACACACACACACACAAAACACACACACACCCCCAGACACCCCCAGACACACACACACACACAGAGAGAGAGAGAGAGAGAGAGAAGCAGGGAAGTGCAATTGCCTCTCTCTGTCTCTGTCTCTCTCTGCAAAGGCAGAGGAGGCTGGGAGCCACAGGGGAAGGCTCAAAGAGCCGCATGCGGCTCCGGAGCCGCAGGTTGCCGACCTGTGGTATATGTTAAATATTAAAGGAAAGCTAGACATATTTTTATTCTGTCACCTACATTAATTTTAGGGGGGGAAATTATAGCTTGTAAACACCTACTTCCCTTTGCTACTTGGATAAAAATATCCAAATGTTATGGGAGTTATTTCAAAACAGACCTTCAAATTATATGTTCTGAAGAATAACACTGAGTATTGTTTTACATAAAAATGGAATCTGAAAAACTATGCAAGGCAATTATGGAAAAGTATGAATTCTGTAATCTAGTTTAGAGTTAAATGTCTATCAGTTATTCCAGAGAAAAATGATACAGTAACTGCTTTAATAAAATATGCATATTTTCACTTCAAGACGGAATAAAATATATTAAAAGCATTCTTTTATAAAACATGTAACACTGAATTTGTAATGGGCAAGTAAAATATATGCTCTTTTTTGTACATATTTTGTTCATTTAACCAAGGATAAAAGAGACTCTTATACATTTTATGTATGAAGTAAGATTGTCTTCTTGGGTCCATGTTCTTTTTGGCTTCTCTGATACTGTTGTTAAATGTGTAATATCTCTTATTTTATTGTTTTATTTACAATGGGTAGTTTTACAGTATTATTACTTCAGAATACAGGCCAGTACATACAAAAAAAAAAAAAAAATGAGAGCAGTGGGTGTTTGTGATCAGTATTAGGGTTTAGTTGAACATTGTTCACAAAACTGGAAAAGCACATTAAAAAGTCTTTTTTGTTTGGGAATTCTTAATGTAGAATTTAAATAGTTTTGCATGGTTCCAAGTGGTATTTTCTTCATACCTTATTCTCCAATTATAAGGAGAACATATTATTTCCAAATGGCAGCTTTTTTAAATTTAACAATTTTTGTTTTATTCAAAGAAAAGTTAAAATACAAAACTCCAAGAAATTTAAAACAACAAAAACAAAAGACACAAAGCATTCAAGACATTAAAAAAGTGCATTAAAAGAAAAGGAAAAAAAGAACCCAAAACATATCTACATATTACCCCCCTTGGTTGAGTACTGATTAATACATTATTACAATATTAATTCCCACTCCTTGTGAAACAGCCCCCAACAAGTTGCATGTTGCCAAAAGACCTTTTCTCAGATTTTGGGCACTGATTGACTGTAATGTACTACACTGTTACTCTATGAAGCTTAACCAGAGAACAAAGAAGCTGAAGCAAAATGAAACAGGAAATGTGTTTTCTGGATATTTCAATCCAGGATTAAAAGAAAAAAAAAAAACCGCTCCAAGTATTTTGCAAATTAAAAAGATACAAAAACCCTGTTGTAAGAGCCAATATTAATATAAATCAAATGGAAGTACTTCACCATTGACAAGCATGCCATGTTTCCATACAGAAAGTGAAAGTTATTTAGAACAGCATAAATCAAAGGGGAAAAAAGAGAACAGTTAAAGTTCAGCAAGGGGTTGAAATAAATCAGCATTCAGTCGCTTTTAAAGATAAAACACAAAGCAAAAATTCAAATGTGAAATCAAGACCCAGGCATGCTTTAAAAAAAAATGCAACAGGAAGATGGATGCCCATGACTTTCCAACCCCTCCCAAAGGGAATTGTAATCTTCAAGATTCCTCAAGATTCCTCTTCACCACCATCCAAAAACAGTTATCCCAAAGTGCTCCCATTCAAATCCAGGGAGCAGCACTGCCAGAGAGCCAGTTTAGGCAGCAAAATAGGCAGATTGTTGGCAAGAAAAAATCTCCTTACCATTCAGCAGCCATCTTGGGGGAAGACCTACCTCCAGATGGCAGCTTTAGGTAACTGAACCAGGAAGAACTTAAGGTATTTATTCATATTTTTTACATTAAGCATCTCCACATCTTGACTTAGGTTTGATTTTCCTCAATAAGAATTAGATAATTCCTTTAAAAATATGCCCTTTTTAATCCTAACGATAATTATTGCTTTACTTTTGACTTTCACAAAGTTGTCCTAAATAAATCCTGTACGTATATATTCAGACATAAAAATAACTGAATTGCATACCATTCAACTATGTATAAAATTGCAGCTGTGAGGAGTAAATAAGAGCTGTTTTTGAAATTTATAGTACGAATGAAATGATGTGCTGAGGGTCAATGAATATTTCAAAATATAGACCAAATGCAAAAGTAAGAAAGTACCAAACTCACGGGAAACTTTATTAATTTTTAATAATTATAGGATCACAAGTGTTTAATAGGTTACTTTGACTCAAAAGAAAGTTTACCTTTATTAAATGTATAAAAATAATTCTCGTCCAGACAATAATCCTAATGGTTACAGCTGTAGTGGCAATAGAGTAGAGTAGAGTAGAGTAGAGTAGAGTAGAGTAGAGTAGAGTAGAGTAGAGTAGAATAGAAATTCTTTATTGGAGAAGTGTGATTGGACACCCAAGGAATTTGTCTCTCAGTGTACATACAAGCAACAAGTGACAAATCATGATCATAATCATAAAATACAATCATCATAAATCGTAAGATACAAACTCAGTAATCATCATAGGATACTAAATAAGCAAACAACATAAATCATAATAGGATATTAAATAATGTAATCAACATAAATCATGAGATACAAACAACAAAGTTATAGTCATAAGAAGCTAAGGAAATAGGTAATAGGAAAGATGAAAAGATGAGAACGATAAAAGGTAATACAGCCCTACTAAGTGGTTTGACATCCTAGGACAGGGGTAGGCAACCCAAAACACTCAAACAGCCACTTGGACCCATTTCCCACCAAAAACAAAACACTGGGAGCTGCAAAACCCTTTTGATATCTAAAAAGGAAGATAACACTGCATATATCCTTTATATACATATATACATATAATAGTTTTTATAACTATTAAGGACATATATACATATATACATATATATACATATATATACATATATATATATATATATATATATATATATATATATATATATATATATATATATATATATATATATATATATATTTACCTTGAGTGTTTCTTGATGCACCCTGTCGGCCCAAATATAGAAGAAAGAAATCTTCTTTCTTTTTCTTTTCTTTTGCCTGTATCAGCTCAATCCAGAGCTATCCACAGGCAGCAGTCGCAACTGCGGCATCATTTATATTATAAAATTTGGATTGCTAACAAAGAATTAAGGGAGAATGGGATAACTATTTCGAGTTTCTTAACTCTCTTCAGCCAGACTTACCCTTCTGAGATTCGAGCCTGGGCTGTGTGCATATTAAGCAGCTGTATTAACCTCTAGGCCACAGGCTCCTTCTCACTTTGTCAGCTGTATCAGGGAGGGAAGAGACAGGGGGAGGAGATTTACCTTGAGTGTTTCTTGATGCACCCTGTCGGCCCAAATATGGGAGAAAGAAATCTTCTTTCTTTTTCTTTTCTTTTGCCTGTATCAGCTCAATCCAG